GGTGTCATCAACCAGAATACAAAATGAGCATTATTCCTGCAGCATGTAGTGTCTTTTGGGCATAGATGACAATGATTAAATTAATATCTGACCTAAACTTTGAATTTAACAAATTCAGACCCAAATCAAAATGCAAACTCGGTGTGGCATTAAGAATGAAATGCCATTTAAAGTTCACAGTACAAGTGCTGCTTGATATGTTGCTTTTTTGAAATGGCAATGATTTTTTAATTCATGAGAATAAGGGATGTGGTTCTTCTAGGGGCACTTCCCCACCAATCTTTGCATCACTCCAGTCCTCACAGATCTCACAACATTGTTTTTTAGAGCTGGGTCACTTTATTTCTGATGTGACTCTGGTTTATCTGAAATCACAACTGATGTTGTTTTTTGTATCCCTGCTGCTTTGCATACAGTGTTCTGGGGAAAATGCCTGGTTGTAAAATTGCCAACATATTATTATTTCACCTTATAACTCACAGGCTTTTAAAGGCACTAGAGGAATGCAGCATTCCTCTGTACCAACAGAAAACTTTGAAGGATTTCCATTCTCTTTTTCTTTTCTTTTTTATAGTTTACTTTTCCTTACATAGCTTCCCATTGAAGCAACCTTTCCTCTTTTCCTTCCTTCCTTTCTTCTGCAAACCACCAGACGAATGCAACAAATGCATGTACTGAAAAACATGGATGGAGTGGGCACTAACCATTTATTGTACAGTATACTTTTGTATGTGGAGGGTGAGGGGAAAGAAATGTTACTTTTCAGCTGAAACTAACCTCAGGAGGACACAGTGACTGGGTGACATTTTTGACACTCCCTTGTTGCCTTGCTAACAGGCAGTTGACTAGCTTGGGTCCACAGCGGTTCCTTGCATTTTGGGATCAAGTTAAACTGTTTTGAAAATGGTGTGGAAGCTAACGCTGATTTCCAAGGTCTCAGATGTGAGAATCCTTGGCTGGAGATGCTGGGGAATGGAGCTGGAGTAATATCAGGGGCCCTGAGTGTCTGCTCAGAGCCCCCAAAACACTGGCCAAGGGAAGTAGATGGCGGCAGCAGCAGCAAAGAGGCCCAGACGCAATTCTGAGCTGATGTAAACTTGCTGAGAAATGGGGCTGATGTTGCTCATAACAGTGCCTTTTTTTTTTACTATTATTTTAAGTTCTATTAAAGATGCTTGTGTGTGTGTGTGTGTTTTCACTCTACAACCAGCTTGTGCTTGTTCTCTAAAAAAAGTACCACCCCTCAAGGCTATGAAGTCCAGGCCATAGAATCACTTTTGGTTTCCCAGGTCTACCAGAAGGGTTAGGTGCCCTCCCTCACTTGGAACCATAAGTGCCCTCCCTCACTTGGAACACTGGTTTACTCCACCTAACAATTAAAAAAAAAAAACTTTTAAAATGTGTAACTTTCCAGTTTTTATTTAAATAATGCATGGATTTCCAGTGGAGCCTCTGGAATAATGTATCACAGAGCATCCTGTTTTGTCACCCTGGGGTATCTGCCAGGGAGAACGTGGTGAGTTGCATGATATACCTGGCTTGTAAAAAATGGTAGTACCTTTTCTGACTAACACATTTTATTAAAAAGCTGCATCTCATGAAAGCTTATGCCTTTTAATAAAATGTGTTAGTCCAAAAAGGTGTTATTAGACTGATTTTTTGCCACCATAGACTAATAGGGCTCTCCTCCTACATGGCTTGTATGATCAGTAAACCACCTGGAATTCCTCTGGACTGAGATGGGGAACAAGATCACATGATAATTTTAAAAAATAAATAAACCAGAGTGCCACATTTCTGAACCAACAACTACCTGGGGCAAATGTGCCCTGCCAGTTCACAGAGGAAAGTGACTATCTACCTGCTGGGGAGTCCACTCTTCACTCAGTTCCCTGAGGTTCCCTCAGGCCTCAGTGATAATGTAGATCAGTGTTTCTCAACCTCAACAGCTTTAAGATGCATGGATTTCAACTTCCAGAGTAGACCCTGAATTCTCAGAGTGGTAGTCCACACATCTTAAAGTTGTTGAGGTTTAGAAACACTGATGTAAATAATTCTCTGGACTCCTTTTGTGATTCTGGTGGCAAGATGAAAAAGGCAGCTTTCTGCTTCAAAGTTCCCCCTTCAAGGTTATAACAGCTCTCTCCCCTCAGGAGATGTCTCAAAAACTGAGACCAAGATGCTGCAATGGCTGCTACTACTGAATGCATGGAGTAACTAACAGGGCAGCACTTTAAGTCTCAACAGGACTTATGTAGTAGATCTCACATACACAGAGAGAGAGACACACACCAAAGGTGGCTAATAATAATCAACAAAGAGTCTTATACGGAACCGGTGGTCTAAGTTCTTTTAAAATAAGAGTCCAAGATATTTGTAATTGGTTTCCATTACACTTGTTTTTCATGTAGTTTGAATAACGTCATACATGGAATTATCCTTTTGACACACAAACACAAAGAGAGAGATGGAAGGTTTTACTGTATTCAAAGTTTCTCACCTTAAAAATAAATAATCTTATTCAAGAGACAAATTTCAATATATTGAACTTCAATGTGCAGTCTAGATCAAGACTACCATACAGGTTTAAATCTTCTACCCAGATATTTTCTTGCAAATACACAACAAGCATACTTATTTAGAAACAGATTAAAGCCTTGGTGCCACCAGAGTCTTTTTCCTTTTTTTCCTATTTCTTTTAAATTCCCAGCCACGTTCACTAGAAAGCTTGCATAGCTGTTTCTCAAGCTGCCCCTGGGTCTGTCTGTGTGCATGTGTGCATGTATGCCCAGCCACTTCATTTCACCTGCAATCCCAATACAAGAGCTGTCTGTGCATCATACACACACACGTGCAGACACGCAAGGGACAGCTTTTGAACCCTCCATTTTTGAAAGGATGTGGCTCCTTTAGCCCACTCGGGGAAGCTCCTCTTTCAAATGTCTTGCACGGCTTTTCTGCTTAGCTTTTCACAATCAATCCAAGACCAGTTTGGGACTGTCACCTGCTGGGCCTCCTCCCTGTTGGAGCATCCAAAGCAAGAACTCTATCCAATATGATGACATTTATTTGCATTACCAAAGAAATCACACTCATCTTCTTACCCCTGATTTTGTCGAATTGGTTCATGCCTTGCTGTCATGCAACAATTTCTCACACAAAATTATTCATACAAGAAGTGGTATATATGAGTTGGAGTTCCAGACAGTTTCTCCTGAGAATTGTATAATGCCAAGGTGAGAATTATGATTAAATCCTGTCAGAGACAGAACTTGGCACAAACCCATTATCAACTTAAAATTGTTGAAATTGCTTGAAGATTCCAGTCTAGATGATTTGATTTGTCCATTAGTATTATCTGGCCAAACACTATCAAATATTTTGGCTTGGCAGGGAAAAAAGTGTGTTTCACGTTCAACTGCTTTAAAATAGAAGTGGTGTAAATATTTGTTGCATAAGGCAACGCTGCCTGCAATCACCATAGTAAAAAACAAACAAACGTTAGTTTCTTTTGGTCATCACATAGCAATATGTTGACTTTAAGGGTAGGAGAAAAGAAAGAGGATTCCTTTCTACTCTTTATGGAAAGCAAGAAGACCTGTGGAAGACCCCAAAAAAGCTGCAAAGATACAGAGAATGAAAAGAAAGCCACAAGGCAGGGGGAATCCTGGAGACGGAGTAAAAAACAAGTAAATGCAAGTAAAGAAGGAAGAGAAAATAGACTTGGATATTTATTTATTTGTTTGTTTGACCAGGTTTATTCACTGCCTCAATCCCCAAACCAACTCTCAGCGGCATTTGTAGCATGGTCTGCCAACAGATTATCACTGCAGGCTTCCAGCTTAGGGAGCTAAGTATGTTTATTCAGAAATAAGCCTTCTGAGGTTTAAAGGGGTATCGCTTTGGGCACACACATTTATCCATTTATTTTTACTGAACCAAAAGCAATCTCAGTGCAGCTAAGCCAGAAGATGCTTATTTCTAGATCAGAGTGACTTCCTGAAAGGAACTTTTGAACTTAATTCCTGAGAGCGATCTGCCTTTTTTTCTGCAGTCTTCAGAGGGAATGCCTTAGAGATACTCTAAAGTGCCCAAAGAAATACTAGGAAAAATGTACCCTATAAACCAGGAGCCAGCAACCTTTCCATAGCCAGGAGCTGCATAGGAGATATGGCTGGCAAACCAGCAAGATTACTGGAATGGGCAGGACTGACGTTTATTTCTTTAATGGAGATAAGGATAACACGGAAGTATTGGGTTGTTGTTTTTTACTTACTTCTTCAGAAAATTGCACCACTGTTGTTAGAGTGACAACAAGAAGGTGTCATGATGTATGTGCCATCCCTTCATGTCTTCATATCAGGGCTGACAGTCCAATATGTTTAAGCAGAGGAAAGACAGCCATCTCACACTGATGCTTTGGTTTGGAAGCAGGGGCCTTGGGCTCAATGGCCTAGGTGTCTCCTATGAAGACTATGATTCTGTGGTACTCAACCACAAGTCATGTCAAACTACCTTTGTATCCTTCCTCTTTTTCCCCCTTTTTTCTTTTTACAAATGCTAAGCTAGGGGATTAGGGGAATGCTATGGTCATGGATGTAATATCTTCATTTCAGCAAAGTTTTCAGCAAGATCATCCAGATATTTTTCTTGGCAAGCTGGAAAATTAAGTCAGGCAAAGTTGTTCCATGGATGATAATCTTTAATAATGTGGGTAGTTTTGTTCTAAAATATGTTAATGGACTTGTGATGGACTCTCTGTGCATCTGCAGAGTGCATCTGATTGATATATTTTATCACATGAAGATGAATTAACAAAAGGACCAGCTACAAACATATACAATATATATTATTATTTATTACATGTTGACTTATGTTCAAGATAATATAAGAACTATACAAATAAATATTACATAATACAGACAAAAGCATGTAAGCAAACCCCCAACACTGCTTTCCCACAAGTTTAGGGGCAAAATACAGAATACCATATACTTGTATTTTCCATTGATTTCAGTGGGAAAATGTAAACACCTGCCTGACTCTCATATAAAAATCAAGCAACATAAGAGATGTTGATGTCACTGTCTTGTTGAGCCAAGATTTTCTTTCTTCGGTTTCTCTCTAAAATTTAAATAACTTTTTAAGGTTGTTATTATTTGGTGTTCTTCTCTAGTCATAGTATATCCGGTACACTTTTTAAGAAATGTTGACAAAGTCTTATTACATGTAATAAGGCTTATTCTCAGGAATGACATACTGCAGGCCTAATTTCACTAATTTCATTGCAACCATTTCACCAATTCTTGCAGCCTAGGTTTACCTACCCCATTCATTGTTGCAAGCTTCCCCAGTCTAGTGCCTTCCAGACATGTCATGTCCTTTCATCCCCAGACAGTATAGGCTAAGAGTGGTGATGCAGATGAATAGTTCCCATTACTATACATTGCAGAAAACTATAAATCAGACTTCAACCAAAGCCTTTAACACCCTTTTTATGGCTGCCTGATCAGACCCCCTTTGTACAGACAGAAGGAAATCATGAAATGGTATTCTAAACATCATGATGATCCTCCTGCTAATTTCAGTGCTTTAGAAAGCAAAATAAATAAGTAAATGTATAGTTAATTCAGAGACTAGTAATGGTCGGTGAGCTCTCTGCTTCTGCTATGTTCAGCAGGCCCTGTGATTGGATGAGATCTCTCTGCTGAGGAAAGTGAGCTCAGACAAATAGTTGGGGGAAAGAAATCTTGATGGATCTCAGAGACATCATCATCATCTTCATGAGGTGATCAGCCCATGTGTAATTACTGTAGTATGGTGGGAAGAACAGTCCTTCCTCACCAGCTTTGCTGTCTCCCCATCCATCTTGGTGAGAAAAGTTGAAAACAGGGCCTAAACTTCCCATGTGATTCAGAACTCATGTAAGAAGGGTTCAAAATCATGCAGGGAACCAATATACATAGGTGAAGAATCCCACTTCAAGCCTTCCTTCCTCATATGTGGATCACTGGTGAAGGCCTGGCTAGTAAAGATGAAGGCAGTTATAATTGTGTGAGAAAAAGAAATGTGAAAAAAGCAAAAGAGGTTCATTACTGAATTCAGAGTATAAAGTGCTACATGTGCTGAGCCCAGAAGACATACAGAAGAAAATGAAAACAATCTTTCTTCATCCACTGCAATGTAAGCCGTGTTCCTGATTTAGCAAAATTGAAGCACTGCTGCACCAACACCTCAGTCAACTCTGCATTGCTTCTCCCTCTTCACTGTGGTGCTGTTACTTGATTCCTTTCCCTCCAGAATACTCTTGGTATGGACTGAGCCGTGTTTTAGGGCGTGGGATAGAGAACTCCTGTTGGGGCTCAAGGTTCTGAAAAAGGAAGAGAATTGTAATTTTGAGATTATAAAGTAACATCTATCCCAAGAGAGGCAGACTCGTATTAGTTCACTTGTATGCTCCTTGAGGAGAAGATCCCAAGTAACCTAAGAAGAGTGAACCTTGCTGTTACAAAGACAGAGTGGTGGTGGTTACTATCTCATTAAATATCAAGAAGAAAAGCCAAAGCTTAGACATTTAATCTTGAACTAGTCAAATGGACAATGTTGTGTATTAGATGGCTAGCTTACATAACATATCCCTAAACCAAAGAGAAATTCATAGCAGGTCCAAGAACATCCTTAATGACTGTTCAGGCATGCTAAGAAATGACACTATCTATCATTTGCACAGTGACTTTTCTCCACCAACCCCACTCCAATGAAGAATAGGAAAGGTCTCGGTGACTTTTTTCTAACTTGGTTTAGGTTGCCTTCAGTAGCCTCCATAGCACCAACAAAATGCTTGCCCTGCAAACGTTAATTAGCTGGTATGGTACTTTGAAGACAACAGCAAAAATGCTGAGCTTAATACAGACTACAGAAAGCTCCACAAGGCAGGTAGGATTGCCAGATCTAGGCATCTAAACATCTGGATGACCAAAAGATACAGCAACACTAAGTTGCCATCTAGTGGTTTTCGAGGTTTTTGAAGCCTAGATCTGCCTGATAGCCCTAGATATAAGGAAAGGTAATTAGGAAAAATATCATCTCTCTCTGAAATCACATTTTTCACCTGAACATATCCTGAGGGTAATATTTGTTATTGTAATCCTAATCAAAATCAGAGTAGGGCCCAGCATCAAATTTTATCAAGCATTTTATAAGCACTTTACCTTTTCCTGCCCAAGAAATTGTTCTTTTCATCTGCACAAGAACATTGCCACAACTAGTTATCATTTATCAAAAGCAGCTTATTAACTAATACGTCATTACATGAACATCAGGTCCTTTTTTCCAGATGTCTAACTTTCTAAACATGTTAAACTTTCCTTCTACAGCACTTGGTTGATGAGGTTATATTATAGTGCCTTATTTCCCTAATGAAAGGAAAGTTGTTTCATTTACCTTCAGTTGAAGATGAGTTGAATAAGGGACATATGAGCCAGTATTTTCTTCTGGAACCACAAAAGAGATGCAAAGAGTGAAAAAGACAATGAGCTTTAGAATTAGTATAAGTAAGTAAATTTACTTTGGTTCAAAATAACAATCTGTGGCGTGAATACTTATACCAGCCTTTTCCAATCTGCCACCCTCCAGATGTCCACTGAAGTTGGGTGGCTAATAAATTTAAAGAAATAAACAAAGAAACAAATAAAAATAACATATTAGGACTGTGGTTTCAGAATTCCCACCATGGGCATCCACAATGACAGTCTCTGGCTTCAAAATGACAGGCATGACCAAGCGATCAAATCCTTTTTAACATCCATTGCATGCATTGCAACCATTTCAAAAGAGCATCTGCCATTCTGAAGCCAGTGACTGTTGCTGTGGACGCCCGATTCCCAGTCCATTGGAAATGTGCAGTCTCAACACACCTGGAGGTCGCTAAGTTGGGAAAGGTCATTTTATATTCCCATTGTATATTTTTGGCACCTATTCTTAAAGAGAGTTATAAAGAATGTATGACCACTTGGCAAAATGAGTGATATGCCACCTTCCGGCTCCTGAGATTCCCCCTCCCTGCCCCACAGTGCCATGCCATCAACTCACCCCCAACTCCCAGTGCTTTCCAACTAATGTGAAAAGTGTCCTTTTTGCCCTCTCTCTTGCCGCAAATCAAATGGGGTGAGATGATGAAGAGGTTGGGGGGCCTATTGCAGGCTGGAATGTTGATTTTGAGTGCAACTATGAGGATCTGATAGCAAGAATAGTAAATACTGATGGTCGGATGGAAGTGCTCTAAGGGCCATGGGAGGTCTGGAGGCAGGGCTTGCATATACATCTAAAATCTTCCTCATTTAGTCCAGCTCATGTTGTGAGTATGCAACTCATAAGATATTCTTGTGTTGTATTGAAATAAGGGGAATGAGTAATCCTTGCGAAGGATCCTTGCAAAAACTAAAAAGAAAATCCTTGTACCTGATGCTTCTGAACAATTTCAGGTATCTAACCCTTCTTAAAACAAATGAAAGATTTAGACAAAGTCACAATGTTTATCTGCCACAAATTTATCTTTTCATACTAACAAAGGTTCAGTTAAACTCTTTCAGACTGAGAGGATCTGACAGTTCAACAAATAATAAAATAAAATCAATATTAATTGTGGCTGCAGATTGCTTTATCAGAGAAGTTTTTAATAAAGTTCAAATTTCAGTTAGTGAATTGTTCAATTAAAACCTTGGCTGGTTAATCAGTAATCATAAGTTTTAATTGATGGACTCTTGCATACAATTTTAATGTGGCTTTTGTTGTATAATAAAAATAGTAAAAATGGTATTTTCTTCTGGTAAGGAATGGTGTCTTTTTAGTTATTTCTTTACACAATTGGTTATCATGGAATTTGTTTGATGAATCAAAGTATATATGATTGCTATTACATTATTGTTGTTTTTATTATCATTATCATTACCTCAAATCAATCCACTGCAGAATAAAGGCCTCAGGTGTTATATGTACTTAAATATTATCAATACATCCAGTAGTTGATCTAATGCTTAATGATTAATCAATTTGTTATTTGTCAATAATGTTAACGTTTTGAATAATATTATTAATCTTTTGCTTTAAGCATTTTCTTTCAGCTAGCTGGCTTTGGTTTTCATTGGGGTGCAGTAGTTGTTATCTTACCTTGTGCGTTGTCTTCCTGAGCATAAGCTTGATTTTCTATTCCGTATGTTTTTTTCATGCCTTTTGCCTGGCAAAAACTGTTCTCCAGAGGATAGTCTCCAGGCTGCCGTGGAGCAGGGAGGACACAGAGTTCGGGTATTGCATACAGAATCAGGAAAGCCCAGCCATTTACTATCAGAACAATGCCAAGGAGAGGATCGTTCCAAAGTGATGGTTCACCTAAAGCACTGATGCCTTGTATCAGGATAGAAATCCATGCCACCCAAATGCCTATGGAGACCAAGGCTGTGAGGAGTATGTGGACACCATGCCTCTTCCACCTCTTGTATGATCCACAAAACACAAACATGGAAACTATGCAGAGGAGAGCCATCAAGGAAAGCACATAGATGAGAATTAAAACAAAGTCTCTTCGTCTTTCCTTATTCATCACATTGCGCATTTCCTTCAAGGCTGTGATATTGACTGCTACATATTGTATGGCTATAATCACTTGTACAATAGTTAAACCAAAGACCATAATAAGCAACACTAGTGCTGAAAATGGACTTCTTCCTCTCACCAACTTGATGAGATCCAAGGCATGGGCCAGAAGACAGGCAAAGCAGAGGGCAAAGAAGACCCCAAAAAGGAAGAAACGTGTGGGAGCAGTTTGCTCATTGAGCCTGATGATAAAGGCAAATGTGAGGCCAAAAATTCCTAGAGTGCCTAAGAGGAAGAGGAACTGGACTGGGATCAGGCTACGTTTTGTATTGTCTTGGGCTTTACAGGTAAGAAGAAAAAGCACAAGGATGAGGATGGCTGTGACAATTATACCAACTGCTGCCAGAACTTCCAGAATAATCCCCCAATAATTATTGGTATCACAGAGGAAGTAGTAGTCGTTGGGTATGTTGCCACAGCCTTGGGGAGGTACAGTAGTAGACATGGCACTTCAGGTGGCTTATCTTAAAAGCAAACCTGTGGGAAATAAGACAAATTTGGGATTATAAATATATGTTAAAAAAACAACAAGTTAAATGGTCAGGCATTTAACTGTATAATGAATCAAATAATTCATATAGATACAATTCTTATTTACTTCACATGTAAATATGAAGCAACCTGATCCCAAGTTGGATCACAGGTTTGCTTAGCCCAACGTTATCTGTTCTGACTGGGAGCAGTGCTGGGGTGCAACATCTGGATCTGATCCAGTAATGGGTGGAGATGAGCCAGAAGCTGAGATTTAGGAGTGATCCCATATGAAAGGCCCTTACTGCAATAAAAAGGCACCGTATACATAGCCCATCTCTTTCTACATAGCAGAAGAATTGGCAGGAAAACACTACAAGGCTCTCTGTAATTTAAGAATAAATCTATCCATACACTCCATGGCTTTCCTATAAATGATAATCTCTTTTCTGAAGCAGCAGCAGCACCCCTGAGAACAAGGATGTCTGCAGGGGCAGGGACATCCAGGGTGGATGAATAACAAAAATGGCAGGTGTGATTAAGTGATCAAAGCCCCACCCTTTTTTACATGCATGAGATGCATGCAGTACGCTTATAAAAGGAACAAGGTGGCACCTGCCATTTTGACATAATTGATCCCACGCCCACAGATGCCCCTGTGAGGGAGGTCAAAAATATCAAAATGGAAGTGTCATCAGAAGCCCGGTACATATTACCATATGTGGTGGACATGCTCAGAAGCTAAAAGATATTGGATTAAAATCCACACATGGTTGGAAAAAATGACAAAACAACAT